ACATAAAAAGAGGGTACAAATCCCAAAAATTGTGGACCAAATGGGCCAAAAATATATCATTTCGGTTGATAGTAACCCCTTAAAACAATTTAAAGCATAAAAACCATTCGATTTTAAAATTTGTGTTTTAATATGCTCAAATATGAAATACAGTAAAAATTCGTATACTTTTGTGAGACAATTTTATGGACCTTTTTAAAAAAAGCTAATTTAATTTATGTAAATGTAAAGTTTTCAAGTTTTAAAAAGCGTGATATCAAACCTAAGGACTGTCTAGACAATATAACAATTAATTTATTTTTTTTGCACACAAAATATATTATTAAATTTGGTTTCTTTTCATAGTTTACCTAAATTCGAATACTTATGAGAGACACTGTAAGTATAACCAGTAGATGTACAAATTGCAGTAATAAAAAATTTCGAATAGTAAAAAAAAATTCCACATATTACCAAAATTCAAAACAGGACGATATGTATATTTACATAGTTGATTTAAAACTAGAGATACAAGAAGTTTTTTTAATTTTATTTTTAGAATAAAAGCAAACAGCATTTAGTTCAATTCTTTGCAAAAAATAACCAAAACGAAAAAAAATTCACATGCAAAATAAAAATAACCAATTTTGGTTAATAATAACCAAAGTGGCAACACTGTGTACTAAATATGTTGCCGTATCAGAGCTGGTAATTTCCAAAAAATACCCAATTTCCAGATAAAAATTTAATTTTATGTGTATAAAGAACTAGCTGCGTGTACCTGGCGTTGCCCGGGTTTCTTCAAAAAGTAAAGAGAATATTTTTCTATCTGTAATGACTTTTTTTTAAATAGATATAAAAATTTATCTTATAACGATAAAATAGTTATTTTATTTTTCACCCTTTTTTTAATCCTTAAAGTCAGTTTCTGGACCAAAAAGTCCTTAAAATTTTAGAAATTGAAAATGAGCTTAAATTAGGAAATTTTGACTAATTTGTAGAAAAATTTAAAAAACGTTTTTTGAGAAATTATACTGAAATCAGCATTTTCAATCAATGGTAGGGAACTAAGGACACTTTCAAATGATTTCTTTTATTTTTTCCATGTGCAATAGATTTAAAGAACTGTTCAGTTTAAATTACGTCACGCCGTACTTTGAATTTTAGTGCCCCTGGTGTAAAGAGGCAAAAGTCTTCTAACCGTATAAAATTTCAAGCGATTTTTTTGCTGTTTGAAAAAGTACATGCAATTGAAAAAATTCTGAAACGATTATGAGAAATTCTGCACAAAATCATAAAAAATTTGGGCTCATTGATTTCAAATTCCTTTAAAAAGAACATTGACAGAGAAAACAAAACTACTTTTAATTTTACAAACAATTTTGAGTTGTTCATTAAAGAGTAAAACCACCGTTTTTCGTCTTTGTTTCTCAAAAATACATTCATTTATAAAAGAGTATGTTTAAAAATATTATTTTTATTCATTAGCTTTTATGCATCCACACTAAAGTTTGGATGGATTTAGACACCACTTATTAAATCCGAAGAAATAAAGGTTTAAAGATCAAATATCGTTAGATATACAAAAAAGTTACCCAAATAATTTTACTTATTAAAATATCCACATCTTCCTCTAATTAAAAAATTTCGGAATTTGTTAATGGTAAATGGAAAATGTGTGCTGGAATTATTCAAAATCATTATTTAATTTAAAAAGCTTGGAATAAATACGGTGCTACATACATGCAGAATTTTTGGTGAATAATTTTCTATAAGTATAAAAAGATATTGAAAGATGAATTCATCTATATTTTATATGAACAATGCTTTATATGCATCGTTTCAGAGGTATACCTATATAATATTTGCAAAAGTGCTGTCTTTCAGGACACTCTAATGAGTAGTCAAATACACCCAGCAAAAACTCTGTAATGGGTTGTACTTCCATAACCACTTACTTTTCAATGACTACTACTTACCATCTGCATTACTTAGAAGTACTCTAGTAATGACTTTTTTATAATCTGATATAGAAGTACTTTATTTTCGGCTTTGTCATTTTGTTTGCACATTTTATTTAATTGCGTGTTAAGAATTGTGTTTTACAAAAAAGAAAACAAAATTATATTTGTATGTGAAGACCATTATTTGACGCACAATAAATTAGCTATGAAGTGGTGCAGTGAGTATTTGACTAACAAACCGAAGTCCCTGGTTCGTATTCTAGCTGGCTCTTTTTATACCCTCCACCACCATCAGTGGTGATTGAGGGTATATATAACTTTGTCATTCCGTGTGTAACACCAAGAAATATTCATCTGACACCCAACAAAGTATATATATTCTTGATACTTATGAAATTCTGAGTCGATTTAGCTATGTCCGTCCGTCCGTCTGTGTAAAACACGCTCACGTTAAAATGAAGCAATAGAAATTCACCCAAAACATTCTTTAAAGTTATTCGTAAAAAGTTATGAGTAAAAATTTCAGACTACCTCGAAAAAAATAACGTTTTTTCCCAATTCTTAAGTAGTTTTCTCAGAAACTACCAAAGATATTTCGATGAATTTTTTTGTGCCAGGGATCAAGTATGTTCAAACTCATAATAATTGATCCAATATTTCCCATAGCCCCCATACAAAGGTATATTCCCGGAAATCAGTTTACCGTTAATAACTTCCTCAAATATATCGGTATCAACACAAAATTTTGTACATACTAATATAATATGAATAAAAATCATACTACCAACGTAGATCTCAGTCGCTCCACAATTGGTCATAGCTCCCATGTAAGGTCCACCTCCAAAAATCACCTAAACGGACATAATTCATTGATAAATAAAGCTTTTGTGATAAAATTTGAGCTGAATATGTTTTGTGTACATACAAATCATTCTACCAAATTTCTTTTCGGATCGGTCCATTATTAGTCGTAGCTCCCATATAAGGCCCTTTTCCGAAAATCACTTAAATGCACATATTTCATTTAAACGCAATCGATATAAAGTATTGTGTACATATAAATCATAATACCAATTCCTCCCCGGATTGGTCCATTATTGGTCATAGCTCCCATATAAGGACCTCTTCCGAAAATAATTTAAACTCACATATTTCATTGTCAAATAAAGCTATCTTGATAAAATTCGACACAAATATGTTTTGTGTACATGCCCGTAATTGGTCATAGCTCCTATATAAAGTCCACTTCCGAAAATCACTGAAACGCACATATTTTATTAATTAATAAATCTATTGGAGTAATATTCGACTTGAATTTCTTTTTTTGCATATAAATTTTTTCTTGATCGGTGCATAATTGGTCACAACTCTCATTTAAGGATCATTTCCGAAAATTACTTAAACGCACATTGACAATCAAAGTCATCGGGATAAAATTCGACATAAATGTGTATTTTGTATATATAAATCGTTATACGGAATTTTAGTTCTGAAAATCACTTAATACCACTTAATTCATTATTAAATGATTATATTCAGACAAAATTCGACATGAGTATGTTTGTGTATAGATAAATCATTATCTTAAAATGTTTGCAACTGGCCTATTAATATAAAATTTTATGAACCTAATCAAAATTAATTCCACATATGCATAAATGTTAGTATCTTCACTACGGAAACAACAATTTTGTCAAGTTATCTAAATATTAGATAGTTAAATGGGTTTTAATAAAAAGTAGCTTGCTGGTGGAGTGTTTTTAAGATTCGGCACAGCCAAATATAGCACTTGTGTTATTATTAAAAAAACAGAACAACTTACTCAACAACAGTTTTGTAAGAGAAATTGCAAGTACTTCATTAACTCCCTATTTGTAAGCGAGCGTAGAAGTACTAGCCTCCAATGACATCACCGTGTTAAAATAATCACTTAAAATGCTAATGAAGAAGTAGTGAAAAGAGGTTTTATTAGCTTTTTAACTCACTACTTTTCAATGTAAGTTTTTCCTGGGCATATCATGATTTTTTAGATTTGAGCTGCATTTAAAAAATGGCAACCGAATTTATATCAAGATAATTTTTGATGTTTTTTTTAACTTATTGCAGATTTTTATTGTTATCTCGATTTAACAATAAATTCAAATTTTATATTTTTGTATGAAAAATATGAGTGATTACGGATCTTTATTTTCTCTCGAATTGAGAGTTATTTAAAGTAAATCTTTAAAGAGTTATATAAATAGAAATTTTAAGGGGAGATATAAATGATTTTCTAGATGGATTTGTAGATTTAAATTTAAAATTCGAATTTTTGTGAAAAATGTAATATGAATATATTATTTACCCTATTTTAGGAGCGGTTTTTGTTCAGTACTGCATACAAAAATGACATCGTAGACATTCATTCAAGATCTAATATAGTTATAGCTCTTTGTTCAGTACTGCATACAAAAGTGACATCGTATACATTCATTCAAAATAGTTATAGTTTTCTCGATCGTAGGAAACTACATCCGATTCTCTTTTAAAATTGTTATTTTCTGAGGATATACAGCAAATTAAAGGTTTTGAAATAAAAATAGTTTACCGGTGGAAAATATAAGTGATGGGAGTAATATATACAGATCTACAACAATATAACTTTTATAAAAAATTTCCGATTCTGTTTTAAAATAGTTTTTTTTTTGAGGATATGTAGCGGATTACAGGTTTTGAAATAAGAATAATTTTCGTGTGGAAAATATAAGTGTGGTATTGCGCCATCTAGGTGTGATTTACCTGTTAATCTAGTTCTTAAGCGAATGTAAACTTAAAATGAATTAATAAAAAGTCACTTATAATTCAACTGCTAAACACGATACATCATAGTGGCGACGAGCTCTGATAAAAAAATCCAACAGTGTGTATAGCAAATAAATAGAAACCGTTAATTTTTCTAGCTACGAATACCTTTTGTATATAAGGTAGTTTTTATATAATAAATATTATATAAATAAGCAGATTTTCTGCATAAAAAAATCGTGGAATTTTAGTTGGTTTATATTTCAAATTGGCATAATGCCTGGACCAAGTGATACAACAATAGCTCACAACGAGAGTCTTTTTGCAACATCTTTGGCAACTGGTATAAGGGAATTCCGGACGGGTGTGGATCGGTGGTCTCATTGGCAAGAGGTGTTGGATTCTCATTTTGTGGAAGCAGCAATAGAAGAAGACCGCATAAAAACGTCAACGTTGTTGAAGGCGGTCGGTCTTGAGGCATATGGTTTGTTAAGGGAACTGTGTTTCCCTGATTTACCTGCCAAGAAGAAGTATAATGAATTATGTGGCATGTTAAATCAATATTATTCACCCCCAGTGATCATTTTTCGAGAGCGTAGAAATTTTTTTGACGCCAAAAAGAAGAGTGATGAATCAGTAGCAGTGTGGTATGCACGTCTTAAAAAATTGGCAATGGAGTGTAAATTCGGATCACAGCTACAACAGTTTGTTTTAAATAAATTTGTAACTGGATGTGAGGGCAAAATTTTTGAGAGACTCTGTGAAGAGGACGAAGGCCTAACGTTGGAAGTCGCATTAAAAAAAGCGTTGACTATTGAGGCGAAGCTGTATTCACAAAGAGAAACAAATGAAGAGGTGTACTATATACAAAAGAATAATACAAATACTGAACGGGGAAGCAAAAAGTATAACACCAACAAGAATAAAGAAGAAGCGGCTGGTAGCAGTAAATACAACAAACAGTTTAATGTGCATGAGAATAACGGCAATAAGAAGAAAAAGAAGAAGTTTATTCATTGCGGATGGAAGAATCACGCTAGCGACAAATGCAAATATAAAAACAGTATTTGTCATAAGTGCAACAAAGTTGGACATTTAGCAAGTGTTTGTGGCTCTAACAAAATAAATGTACTTTAAGTATCAAATAATGAGTTTCATAACAAAAATATTTTTGAAAAGAATAATGTTGATGACGATAATGCTTTTTCTATTTATAGTGTAACGGATGAATGTTCTGCTCCATTTCAAGTATCAGTTGAAGTAAATAAAGTAATGATCAATTTTGTTTTGGATACTGGGGCTGCTTGTTCGTTGATATCCAGTGAAACTTTTCATAAATTTTTTAAGGAACAGAAATTAAAGCCATGCGGTAAGAAATTGTGTGCTTACGGTGGAGATGTCATAGATGTTATTGGTGAGTTTTTAGCAATGGTAAAATTTCGTGGCCAAGTTAAAAATTTAAGTTTTGTTATTACACACACACGTTTTAGGACGTGATTTTATGTCGATGTTTGATATCGCCCTCTCAAATGTCAATTTAATAACGGACATAAATGAGTGTGTACTAAGTATAAAAAAACGGTTTCAAAATGTTTTCAAAGAAGAGTTAGGTTTATATACAGGTGGCACAGTAAAGTTAAATTTAATGGGAAACGTTAAACCTATTTTTTGTAAACCTAGACCGGTTCCGTTTGCGTGGCGTTCAAAAATCGAAATACAATTGCAAGGCTTAGTTGAAAAAGGTGTATTGGTACACGTAGATAATTCAGAGTGGGGCACACCTCTGGTACCCATTATTAAACCAAATGGTCAGATCCGTATTTGTGGGGACTATAAGTCTACCATTAACAAGTATTTAGAAGATGTTAAATATCCTCTTCCGTTGATTGACGAGTTGTTTGCTTCTCTTCGTGGAGAGCTTTTCACGAAATTAGATCTTTCAAACGCTTATAATCAATTGGCTTTAGATGAAGATTCTCAGTTGTTATGCGCATGGAGTACCCATTTGGGTATATTCAAAATGACTCGCTTGCCATTTGGGGTTAAACCCGCAGCGGCTATTTTTCAGAAAACATCTGAGAATATTTTACGTGGCATTCCAAACGTAGTTAACTATTTGGATGATATTATCATCACCGGTCGTAATTTTGAGGACCATGTTAAAACTATTGAGTTGGTATTAAGTAAACTATCATCAGTTGGTTTGAGACTTAATAGTGACAAATGTGCATTTTTCAAAGATAAGGTATCATATTTAGGCTTCAACATTGACCGTTTCGGTTTAAGTATGAATAAAGATCGTATTTCATCAGTACTGGATGCGCCAGTCCCTAAAAATGTATCGGAGGTTAAAGCGTTTGTGGGGATGCTGAATTATTATTCAAAATTTATTTATAATTTTGCCAATAAGATGTCACCTCTTTATGAACTTTTAAGAAAAGATGTAGAATTCAAATGGTCGAAATCTTTTCAAAAGGCATTTGAAATGTTAACAAGTTAGAGTGCTATATTCGGCTGAGCCGAATCTTAAATACCCTCCACCAGCTACTTTTATATTAATATTTTTCTAATTGATCAAATATTTGTAGAAATAAGTCTTCTCATGTCTTAAATATAAAAATCGCAAGATTTAAACAACTTAGATCTATTACAATTCCAAGATTTATTGAACATTATAAAAGCCATTTTCTTTTATATTTTTATAGTGCTTAGCAATATTTAATAATTTGCATGTATGCATGTGTGTGAAAGATTTAAGGATTTTGTAAATACATACATATATATAATTTTGTTCTACACAAATTGATAATGCAAATAGTTAAATATGGTTAAAGCGCTTTTAGGGGCAGTTCCTAGTATGGGAGATAAGATCAATTATAGACCGATCGTAAAAAATTCTTTAAGCCAAATTTCTGTACATAAAAGCTATATTTCAGTCAAATTTTGTATCTATATCGTAATTTAGTACAGCTTTATTTGGTAATGAGTAATGTGCGTTTAAGAGATTTTCGTAAAAGAACCTTGTATGGGAGCTATTACCAATTGTGCATATAAAGACAAAATTTCAAAATTCTGTATCTATATCATTATTTGGTAATGAATATTGTTCATCTAAGTGATTTTCTGGAGGGGACCTAGTATGAGAGCTCTGACCAAATATGGACCGATCGGGAAAAAATTTCACAGTAATATTTCTATGCATATGGGCAATACTTGTACCAAATTTTATATGGATATCTTAATTTAGTAATGAGGACAATGAGTAATGAGGGTTCTATAAATCGACTTTCGAATAATCGAACAATCGACTTTTTGTCGAAAAAAGTCGAAAAGTCGAAGTCGACTATTTTGTTCCAAAAAAGTCGATAACTCGACTATCGTCTATGAAAAAAGTCGAAAAGTCGAAAAAAGTCGAAAAGTCGAAAAAAGTCGATAAGTCGAAAAAAGTCGAAAAGTCGAAAAAAGTCGAAAAGTCGGAAAAAGTCGAAAAGTCGAAAATAGTCGAATATTTAAAAAAAGTGGAAAAGAGGTCAAAAACTCTAAAATAGTCGGAAAAACTCGAAAAAAGTAAAAAATAGTCGAAAAAAGTCGAAAAAAAGTCGAAATAAGTCGAAAATAGTCAAAAAGTCGTAAAAAATCGAAAAGTCGGAAAAAGTCGAAAAGTTGAAAAAAGTCGGAAAAAGTCGAAAAAAGTCGAAAAGTCGAAAAGTCAAAAAAAAGTCGAAAAGTTGAAAAAAGTCGAAAAAAGTCGGAAAAAGTCGAAAAGTCGACCATTTATAAAATCCTAAAAGTCGAAAAGTCGACTTTTAAATAAATGAAAAAGGTCGAAAAGTCGAAAAATCGACTTTTCATAAAATGGAAAAAGTCGAAAGGTCGAAAAGTCGACTTTTAACTAAATGCAAAAAGTCGAAAAGTCGACTTTTCGTTTCAACTATAGAACCCTAATTTATAGAACCCTACGTTTGAGTCAAACAATTTGATGTGTTTAAAATTAAGCGTTTTTGATAAATTAGGCGGCTTACAGTCGATTTAAACCGCCGCCGATATTTTTAGTGTCAGCCGCCGCCGCCCTTAATTATTGTCGGCGCAGGGCTCTGTTAATAATATAAGAAGAATTGTCATTAAAAAAATAAACTAAACTAAATAATTGCCCATTAAATTTTTTATTTGACATAATGGACAATTTTAATTTGAATGGTTCTCAAATTTCACGAGGGGAGTTTTTTCAAATGCTCCTTCGTGTTTCTATTGCATCGGTTATAACATACTATTCTGTAAAATGGATGATGAACCAGATAGATCCTACAAGTAAAAGCAAAAAGAAAGCAAAAATTAGGGCAGAAGAGCAGCTTAAACGGTAGGTTTACATAATATTTTATAAAAAAAAAATTATTTTTTTTTTTTTTAGTCTAAGTGGAGAAGGAGAGTTCAAAATTAGTGCCCAACAATTTAATGATTATGAATTAATGATTGCTTCACATATCGTTGTGCCTAGTGACATTTCAGTAAGTTGGAGTGATATTGCTGGATTAGATAGTATTGTACAAGAATTGCGTGAATCTGTAGTGCTTCCTGTTCGTCACCGTGGGCTTTTCAATCAGTCTAAGTTGTGGCAAGCACCCAAAGGTGTACTGCTCCATGGACCGCCTGGTTGTGGAAAAACTTTAATTGCAAAGGCGACAGCAAAAGAAGCTGGAATGCGATTTATAAACTTAGATGTTGCAATTCTGACCGACAAATGGTACGGGGAATCGCAAAAGCTTGCTTCTGCGGTCTTTTCGCTTGCATTAAAAATTCAGCCATGCATAGTATTCATAGATGAAATTGACTCCTTTTTAAGAAGTCGCAATTCAAACGACCATGAAGCAACAGCTATGATGAAAACACAATTTATGATGCTTTGGGATGGTTTAAATACAAATAACGAAGCGACAGTTATTGTAATGGGAGCGACGAATAGGCCACAAGATTTAGACAAGGCAATTTTAAGACGAATGCCTGCACAATTTCATATTGGTCTACCTGGTGCAGATCAACGCCTACAAATTTTGCGACTTATATTAAATTCTGAAATTGTTCATGATTCTGTGGATTTTAACCGTTTAGCAAAGATAACCAATTCTTTTTCCGGATCAGATTTGAGAGAAATGTGTCGAAATGCATCTGTCCTTCGAATGAGACAGTTTATGCGCCTTAATGAAAATAGAGTTATTGCACAAAGTATTGAATCGCCGGCTCAGTTAAATAATTACAACGTTTCTAATAATGAATTATTAGCTATAACTATGGATGATTTATTAAAATCGTATGATAAAATGAAGGAATCGAAAATGCATACTGGGCAATTGTTAATGGAAAACAGAATTGAATTAGACTAAACATAATTATTTAATTTCTACCTTAATTGAATTAACTTTTATATGTTTTAGAATAATGTAAAAAGCTTTGCCTTTATTAATGCATTCAGGTTTATTCAGCTTATAATGTGTACATTAGACCGATTCGCAAAAAAAATTGATATGATGATACATAAATATATTCCGTTTAGCTTTAACGTTCTTGAGCTGGACCGTTTTCCATTTCTAATACAAAATTGTACTTATTTTAATAACCTAATACTTGTCTTCAAATCTCTCACGTCTGCTGCAGAAAAGCGTATCATCAAGAACAATATTTTCACAAAGCAAAACAACTTGTTATCCAATTATTTAAGAAATTTGAACAAAGTGTATATCGTCACGTAAAACGCAAACGGCCCTGTCTAACATTTTTAAAATTTTACAGGAGAAACAAAGAACTATTTAAATTGAAAATTTTGTTTCTATCAACGCGATTTATTTGTAGTAAATAAAGAGATTGTTTAATAGTGAAACCTGTCATTTGTTATGATATTTATAAATGTTTGAAATTGCTAAGTAGTCTAAAATTGGCCAAAATTGTCTGTGAAAATCGGTAAGTTCTCGATATTTATAATTGGGCCTAAAACATTTTCTATTCTAAATCATTTCAAAAAATAGTTTTATAGGTGATTCTAATACTTTTTTATTCTATTGTACCCTCCACCACCATCAGTGGTGATAGAGGTTATATATAACTTTGTCCTTCCATGTGTAATACCTTATGAAATTCTGAGTCGATCTAGCTATGTCCGTTTGTCTGTATAAAACATTCTAACGTTAACACGCAGCAACAAAAACTAACGAAATTCTCGCAAAATATTTATTATTGTCCTAGGCAGTTTTGTATTGAAAATGAGCAAAATCGGAAAAGTTATAAATCAAAATTTAAAACAACTCGGAAAAAATAAAGCATTTTTTTACACATTCTGATGTAATTTTCACGAAAATTATACAATATAATTGCAAGAAAATCGTCATACATTCGTTTCTACACGAGAGCTTGACTACTGTTGAAAATTGGCGGAAACGGTCCACAATTTCATATACCTCACATACAAAAGAAAATATTCCCCAAATGAGTTTATTGTCAATAACTTCCGTCAGAATGTTGATATCTTCACAAAATTTTATAAGTTAAAATCTTATTTGAATAGAATTCATTCAGAGAAAAAATTTTTAGGATCGGTCCATAATTGGTCATAGCTTCCATACAAAGTCCCCTCCCAAAAATAACTCATTACAAAATTAAGATATCCATATAAAATTTGGTACAAGTATTGCTGTTCAGCTCCAACAAGATTCCCAAGATTTTATATAAAAATAAATACAAAGAATATTCAATTTTATTAGAGACGAAGATCTCTTTTTTATTTCAACCAAAATATTACCTCGTAGAAGTAGATTGTTTTTAAATGTAATATGCACGTAATCAAAAGTGATTTTTAATGTCAAAAACGAAACAAGCATAAATTTGGTGGCAAACAATATTTAAGCACCGTTAGCGGTTTACTCGTTAGAATCTTCCAACAAAGTTGCAATAAAGAGGAGCATTATAAGATTCTAACGTTGTTATAAAAAGTATTACAAAAAAAGTAGTTACATCAGTTCTAACTTAAACATTGCCGGCCACCTTGCAATACATAAGGAATTGCAAACGATTTAAATACGATGTAGATTTTTACGAAGTCTCTCGACTTTCCCCACAGAACCTAAGTGCCGAAGGTGGATTTTTAAGAAGTCTCTCGACTTTCCCCACAGAAACGAAGTCCCGCAGGTGGATTTTTAAGAAGTCTCTCGACTTTCCTCACAGAACCGAAGTCCCGCAGGTGGATTATTATGTAATATAAGTAATGTAAGATACATAAATAAAGATAATAAATAAGAAGGTAAAAACATAAATAAGGAATTAGGAACATAAATATATTTCTGTGAGCGTATTAAAGTGATAATAAATTAAAGGTTAAAAAGCGTTAGACCACGTCGATATATGTTTCGAAGTCCCTAGGATTAGCTGGACCTGTCAGTATCCAACCAAATATAGTTTTCTGTGCCAATAATGGCCCTAATACGTTTTGTTGTATTCCCGGTAAAATAATGTGCGGATATAAATCTGCTCCGATAAGAATATCTACAGGCCTACTAGTAAAAAGATTAGAATCAGCCAAACAACGATTTAGCAATATTTTTTCAATATCGATTTCCTGTTATTTCTGGTAAAACAAATGCGTTAGTTGGTAATTTTATTGAAGAATCTAAATCTGAACTAATTTTCAAAGGACAAAATTTTGTAACTCCAAAAACTACATTATTAACGCCAGAAACGTTAGAATTCGCAGAATGAGTGGGAAGTTTTAATCTTTTTCGTAAACGTTCATAAATGAAAGAACATTCTGAACCCGAATCTATTAAAGCACGGAACTGATACTTATGGTTGTTATGAATTATGTTTACCATTGCAGTCCCTAACAAAACGGACTGATTCTGTCTAGTATGAAATACATGAGGATTAGAAGTAACATTATTGGACGTATGTGATTGTCGAGTGTGGGAGTTAGTGGGTCGTAGAACCTCATTGGAATTATGTTCGGTAGAAACAGTAGGTCTTTCAACTATAGAATTATCTGTATGCTGCTGATGAAGCATAGAATGATGTCGATTATTACAAATAAAACAGTTATTATTGATTGTACAACTTCTGACTTTATGTGTCCTCGAAAGGCAATTAGTACAGCAGTTATAATCATTCACAGTAGAAATTCTTTCAGATACTGAAAGATTTTTAAATCGACGACAATTTCGCAAATAGTGAGACTGATCAGGCCATAAGATACATGAAGGTTTAGTAATAGTAGAACTATTTGACTGCACTGAAGAGTCGATGTCAGTCGAGTTCGTACCTTTAAGATCTTGAAGACATTGCAATGTCTGAATTCTTTCTGTAAGAAAGTTATCGAAATTTTTCCATGTGGACAAAACAGTTTTGTTCTTAAAACCCTGTCCCCACAAAATAACTAGATCTAGGCAAACGTTGAATACACATAAAAATGATAATTGGGACCCAATTATCAGTAGGCACTTTATAAATAGAAAGAGCCGTAAGGCAACTATTAATTCCGCGTTGTAATGTTTTGAGTGCTGTTATCGATTCCTTGTCAAGGAAAGGAAGACCAAAAATATGTTTTAGCTGGTTATGTACCAACATACGAGGATTCTCATATGCTTCCTTTAAATCGCGCCAGACTACCTCAAAACTTGCGTTAACAAGTGGATATTTAGAAACGATTTCTTTTGCTTCACCTTCGGTTTTTCGTATCAAATGGCAAAGGCGTTTTATATTGTTAATCCGTGAGCTATTAATAAAAATTGCGAAAAATAAATCAATAAAAGCGGGCCAAGAAACATAGTCACCTCCGAAAGGATCGATATTACAAGGAGGTAGAGTCAGACTATGCTCTGAATTACCGGAGTTCGGATTTACCGTTGGAGATTCACTACTTTTTAAATTTATCTATTTTTACATATATGGATCCTCCACATTGGACATAAGCTGAGTAGGTGGCTTGATATTTAGCACTCACTACTTCAAATTCACTAGTTTCTAAAGTGTTAAGACATACTTTGTAAGTCGTCTTAACATTTTTCAAAAGGGTTTTTAACTCCTCACTCTAAATCTCTAAGGTATAAACCAAAGAATAATAAGAAGTTGGACTATGACATTGTTTTACAACAATAACATTTCCTTCTCTTCACAGACGAGTTCTGTGTAAATTCAACACACTTGTGAGAACTCAATTCTCTCACAATACTTTGAAACTTTTTCGCGAAAATACAGGGATAATAGGACTTGAACGACGTTTTTTCACAAACAAATAACTATTTTTTAATTTTTTATACAATTTTATCGCATTTAACAATCCGAAATATTTTTATTTTTCACAAACTAAAAAAATATTTTTTTAATTTTTTTGACAATTAATTTTTGTGTGTTGAAATTAAAATTGACAAAACAAAGTTGTATATTTTGGTATTGAGAGTGGGTGCCAATCGGTAACAATTTATTTGAAAATGTAAATTTTTGATAGATATGAGGTGAATAAAATTTTACTAGCTCATCGGGCTACATAAATTTTTGACAATTGAAAAGAAAAATTTGAAAATACAAAAAATAAAATATTTTATAATTTTAGTTTGTAATACATTTGTGATTGTAGAAATTTATTTTAAAAATAAAAAAATCAATAAAAGTGTTTCTTTTATTAAAATAAATGCAGATTTTCTTGTGAAATTTCGTTTGGCACAGCAAAAGTGATAATATTTTCCACCATAAGAAAATTTTATTTTACCATAGAACTTTACTGCCGTTTGGCACACAGTCTGAAAATGAAAAAATTATTTAAAATAAAATTATTTTTTTGCAAAAAAAGAGATTTTAAGTCCGAAAAATATATTTATTAAATGTTTACTGATTAGATGTGGGCAAAATAAATTAAAAAATCTGCGAATGTAGAAATTTAAATGTTATTTATTTTTCCTAAAATTTTTATGTACGATTTTATGCAAGTATGTATGTTTGGAAAGTGTGGTGAAAGTGGTTGGAGCTCCAATACTAATACAAAAATTCTACCAATACATACTTAGAGTTAGGTACCGAATGACAACTCCTTTACGTACCAACTGACAAGCCCCAATTTCTTTATATTCTTTGGTATAAACCGTATGAATTTCTTCGCCAAAATTACTAAACATATCCCTAAATGCAATAAGAGCATTCGATGCTTTTATAAACGTGTTTAGTGAAGAAAACGACATTTTTTGATATATGAAAAGTCAATAAAAATAAATCAATTAATAGCCCGATATCTATTTACTAATTGACTACAAATTTTATATCAACAAACGTGATAATAATCAAACTGACCGAGCGTAGGGTGACTAATATAAAGGTAGAAGAAGAATCAACCGTTTATGTATTTTAGGGCCAATCTTTAGGTGAAAGATTAGCGATTAAATTAAAATTAATCCTCGAAAGATGTTTTTGAGTACTCAATTAGTTAATTTTGTTTACAAGTTTAAGCGCCTAATGGAGGTGGTTTAATCTTAAGCACGAAATGCAAAAGTGTAAACAGTTGATGCAAAAAAATTAATAAAATTTTTATAAATTAAACATTAAAATGTTCCATTTATTGA